CACAGTAATTGTGGTAATGGAGATAGGTGTGTCAGAGACAATGAGACTGGCTCAGGATAGAGCAGAGTTCAGAACTATTGTGCATAGGGACACTATGAGTTATAGACAACTCAATGGCACATAACAACAACAACAACGAAACAAAGCTAATTTACTTGATCAATCCATCTACTTATGCCTCTTTTGGCCACATATTTCATTCAGCCCAGTGATAAATTCTCACTCAGCCCTCTTAGGTAAGTTATTAATCTTGGAATAAATACTTGTTTTATGTTCATTAATTTTACTTCTGTCTCTCTCAACACACAAACACAAAGACAATTTAATAGAGATGTTCTGATCATTTTACCCCATATGTGAGATATCACAAACTGATCTGGTAGGAATTAAATTGCCTGTGTCTTCAATTAATGAGCAAGTAACTACTTATCTACTTATATTATAACTTATAACTACTTATATAACTACTTATAACTACTTATATTAAAGTATATGTTACCTAATTATATCACTTAGAACACTATTGCTGCTGTTGTTGCTATATGCCTTCAAATCAAAATAGTTGACCTTCTAGCAGATTTTTAAAGGCCATAAATTACTTGGGAGGAAATTGTCCATCTTTCTCATATGTAATGGCTAATGGATTCAACTACATGCCTTTGGCTTGACTACACAACTCCTTACCACTAAGCCACTGGACACATGTGTTACTGTTGTAATGTGCCATTGAGTTGCCTGCAACTCATAGCAACCCTATATGCACTAAACCCCGTCCTACCCTGAGCCAGTTTCACTGCCTTTATGATATCTAACCCTATTGCCCCAATTACTGTCTCAGTTCATCTCTTCTTGGGTCTTCTTCTGCACTGTCTCTACAATTAACACTTTTGGCACCAGCAGTCAAGAAATCAAAAGACAGATTGCATTGGTGAAGTTTGCTGTCAGGGACCTCTTCAAAGTACTATGGAGCAATGATGTCAGTCTAGAGACTAATGTGCACCTCCTCCAGGCCATGGTCTTCATGTATCAGAGAGCTGGACAATGACTAAGGATGACAGAAGAAGAATCAATGCCTTTGAGTTGTGGTGTTGGAGAAAAGTATTAAACATAACATGGACTGCCAAGAGAACAAATAGGTCTGTCTTGTTGATGTTGTTAAGTGCCATTGAATCGTAGATGACTCATAGTGATCCTGTGAACTAGTGACCTGAACACTTGTATAAATTTCACTGTTTCTCCAAGTCTATAGGGTTTCCAGAGGCAAGCTATTTTGGAAGTGGATGCAAATCCTGCTTCTAAGCTTATTTTAATCAGGGAGCTCTACCAAACACTGTCCACCATGGGTAAACATTATCACATTTGACACATCAGTGTCACAGTGTTTAGCATCACAAAGAAGATCTGTCTTAGTGAGGGTGAAAACAAGTTTCTCTTTGGAGAAAAAGATTGTGAAGCTCTGTTGTACATACTTTGGGCACATAGTCAGGAAGAACCAGTCCTTGGAGAAGGACATCATGTTTGGAGGGGTAGAGGGACAGCACAGGATACAATGTGTGTGTATATGTATAATATCTCATTTTTTTACATTCAGCAGTACATTTTATAACTTTAAATATGTGTAATTCTATTTGTTTTTCTCAAAGAACATTTCCTTTTTTTAATAACAAAATCTGAAAAGACATGAAATGTACATGTTGCAAGAAAGATAAAAATCATATCAACAAATAAGAACAAGGGTTTGCAAGGTATTTGCATAAAGGCAAATGGAATTATGCAAAAGAATTAGTCAAACCTTTATTTTAACAGACAACCTTGTCTACATACTTGCTGAAAAACATGTATTGAAATGCCCAAAGTTGCTAGACAACACATGGCATTGCCATATTGTTGTCAAAATCTGAGGTATGGTTTTGGAAGGAATTTTCTTGCCGGCTATGACTTTATTATGACTCCATTATATAATAGTTGTTGAGTGGTTATGTTACTCTAATCTGAGTTGTGATATTTGCATTTACATTACAGGCAACAAAGTGAAGAATGTTTCTTATTAGTGATGTACTTAAATTTTTTCTAAATTGTGATACAGTCAACAGAGCAATGAAGAATTCACCTGGATTCTTCTTTGCTCTGTAGCCTATATCATACTTATGAGAAATTTCTTTGTGTCTAGATAACATTTTTTTAAAATGAAATTGATGATTCAAAAGAGAGAGTATTCTAATTACCATAGGAATAGAATACCAAAGAAATGTAGTTAATGACTGGACTTTACGTTTCTCTCCTTTGCCAATATTTCCCGATCTCCACATCAAGTTGTAGGGTTTTATTTTTATTTTTATGTTTACCTTTGAAGCATACTAGTCATTAGAGTATGGTGATTTTGCACCTAATGATTGAGCTCATGAATTCAAAGGGTATAATAGATCATTGACATTTTTAAATTGAACTTTTGGACACAAAACAAGTGACCTTGAGTATATTTTGCTTAGGAGCAAATTTGAATTTCTTCAGCTGTGTGGTTTGTGTAAGGCATTAACTTGACACTCGGCTCAGCTGCCTTCACTGTGGCACTTTGCTTCTTTCCTGGTGGTTACAATAACAGTGACATGAAGAGTAGACATTTATGGAGTCTCAAACTCAAGGATTCACAAAAATCTTCTGACATATTGTTTGTTAAGGTCAAGCATCCAGCATTAGAATACTTTTTTCTTTATCCTCCATTCATCTGATTCCAAAAGTGTATTTTAACCACATGGAAAATGTTGACTGATTGTGATGTCCCGTCTAGTTAGTGATTAGGCATTTCTTCCTGTGGATTAATTAGCCTTTTGATCTCAAATGTGTGCTTTTATAATCTTCAGAATCTTTTTATCATGAATCCCCTTCTCCCATTTCCTAAAGACAATATTACCTTTATGTTATAAGCAATCTTTAGCAAACATACTTTAACTTTAAAGAGCCATGTGTATATCATTATGTTAATGTATAGTCTCATTGCTATTCTTGTTTGCCACTTACTTTGAGCTCTCATTTAATGACTACATTTATTTGGAACAGCAGTTAGTTATGTTGTTATAATATAACAGTAGTTGTAAATTGTTGCTGTTAAACACTGTTGAGTCTACTATGAGTCCTAACAACCCTATGAACAAAGGCTCTGCCACTTGTGCCATCTTATTATTAGAATATATAATATCCTTTAATATATCTTCATTGTTGCTGCCTGTCCTATCTTGTGGCATCCTGGCCAACCCTGACATAGTTGCCCACCGTTCTGTCACTGTGTCAGTCCATCTTATTGAGAGTCTTCGCCTCCTTCGTTGTCTCTCCACCTTTCCTAGCATGGTTCTTTTCCAAGGACTGGCCCCTCTTAACAATGTGCTCAGAGTATGCAGGATGAAGTTAACTATCCTTGTTTGCAGTAGTACCTATCCTTGACTCCAAGTAACATCTTGGTTATACTTTTTTCAAGACATATTGGTTTGTCTTTTTTAACAGTCCATGGGATTATTTAGCATGTTTCAACACAACAACTCAAAGGCATTGATTCTTCTTTTATCCTTATTCGTTGCCCAGCTTTCAGCTGTATACACAGCAAGTAATTGAAAAGATTATTGTTTGAATTGGGTGCACCTTTCAATCTCTTCTTAATCTAATGATACTGCCTATTGGCCTTGTGGTGAGGATTCTGTTTTCTTAATGTTGAGTTGTGATTCATATTTAAGACTATGGTCTTTGATCCCGTGTAGTAAGAGTTGCAAGCCCTCTTCAATTTTGGCAAGCAAGATTGTGTCATTTCCATAATACAGGTTATTTATAAGTCTTCCTCTAATCCCGATATCACATTCTTCTTTATATAGTCCAGCTTCCTTCTCAAATGATTTGTTACACATACAGATTGAACACGTATGGGAAAAGGACACATACCTAACACACACCTTTCCTGATTTTAAACCATATAGTATTCCCTTGCTCTGTTCGTACAGCAGCTTCTTGGTCTAGGTATGGATTTCACATAAGTACAATTACATGTTCTGGGATTTCTTCTCAACGTTAGCCATAGTTTGTTATGATCCATATAGAAAAACCTTTACATCGTCAATAAAACACAAATAGGCATTCTTCTGCTATTCCTTCCTCTCAGTCAAAACCAAGCCATCAACAATGATAACCTTCATATTGAGGCTTCTCTTAAATATAGCCTCAGTTTCTAGCAGTTCTGTGATGTTGTACTGCTCTCGCCATTTCTTAATGATCTTGAGCAAGGTTTTATTTGCATGTGATATTAATTATATTGTTTAATAATTTCCACATTCTATTGGATCACCTTTTTTTAAGTTACAAACAGCAAGACTTAAATCAGCCCTCAGAATTACTCACTTTATCCGTGAATATTTAATAAGGATAATAATACTAAATTATTTTTTCTTGTCATTGTGCCTGTTAAAGGAAATAATTATTAGAGTGTTCAACATAAACCAGGGTACTTTAAGAGATGGACAAATGGTAGATGGTAAACCAAAAGAAAACTTAAGTGACTGCATCTAACTAATTCCTATTTATGGCAACCCCATGTGTTACAGCGTAGATGTTCTCATAGATTTCTCCCATAGAGTTCTCTAGCTGTGACTTTATGAAAGCTGTTTGGTTCTCAAGCCTTTACTTCTCAGTCACTTCTGGGTGGGTGTGAACTGCCACTGGTCAGGTTAATAATAGATTGTAAACAGTTTGTGCCCCCTGGTTACCCTGGATGTGATAAGGACTGAATAAATACATGATACCTGTTGCTCTTGTAAGTTGTTAGCTTTCACTTTTGGTATTTTGTAAACTACAGATAAACTAGAATGTGAATGTAAAACTAAAACAGATTCACCCACTATAAGTGGTTCAACTACAAGTATAAACTATAGGTGTATCAGACATATGATTGGTCTGTGACAGAATTCTTGGGAAAACATATCCTCAGAAAGCCTAATAATTCTTTGTTCTGTCCTTCCTAGGCATCCTGTTCTCCCTGGTAGTGATGCTCTACGTAATCTGGGTTCAGGCAGTGGCAGACATGGAAAGCTACAGAGACATGAAGCTGAAAGACTGTGTGGATTTCACCTCTTCTGTTTTGTATGGCTGGTCATTTTTTTTGGCCCCAGCTGGGATATTTTTTTCTTTGTTGGCTGGGTTACTGTTTTTAGTTATTGGTCAGCATATTCAGGTACACCACTAGTCAAACTAATGCCACATTTTCTTGAAAGAGTTAGAAATAAATAAAAATTGTCTTTCGTTTACCCCAGGATAGAGTTTTATTGGTAATCTTAACCATTTTACTTGTAAATGTTCTTTAAAAGAGTCTTAGACTTTGCTCTAAAACAAACATGTTTCTGTCTTATCTAAGTGCTAGAATCTACCAGTTCTTCAGGAAGCGAGGCACATGGGCCTCCCCTTAATTGCAGATTGCTGAGGCCAACTAAGTGGTACAAGACCATCACATGGGACAAATCAGGATTTGGTTTATAGCCACCTTCTTGGCATTTCCTTCTGTTATTATTATGCATAAAACATTGTTGGAGAATAATTAAGAATGGAAAACAAATGTTTCCGGAGTAATTGAATTTAATTTTTTCCCCTCCACACCAGACACACCCATGTACATATTCACTAACTTTAAAGGAGCAAATTATTCATCATTTAAAAACAGAATAATTCTTTTTTTATAGTGAGAGCAGTACAAACTCACCAGTAAAAACAGGCAACATCATATAAAAGTGAGTATGCTCTTCTTTACCATTTGCACACCAGTGGTGTTTCGGTTACTTAATTTTATTCATGGAATTACGCACACTTACCTAATTCTTAAACTTCCTCAGAATGTTGCAGAACTCTGCCATGAAACTGCACTCAATGTCTACTGGATATTTATGAACTTTCAATGGGTTAATTGTACATGTAACGTTTTAAAATACACACCCAAAACAAGCAACTTAGCTTAGTACATCACTCTGTTTGATACTTTAAAAATTTTATTTAAAAGTTAATACTGCTAAAATATTCAGCATGTGAAAAGTTATTGATGAAATGTGCTTTTAATATCCACTAGCTATAAACTTTCAAAATACTTCCATATGAGGATTATAATAGCCTCTCTATACCATTTTATGGGTTCAAATTTTTCTGATCATTTTAATCTTTTAATTGTGATTCTTCAATTCTTTGTCTCTGTTATAGGTGCCTTAATATTTATAGATTTGCTGTAACATTCAGCTTCCTGGAAAAAAAATACTTGGGATGTGTGTGTAAAAATAATTTTTTTTATTTACTAGCATAGACATTTTGCATATCAAAGATATATGTTTGGCACTAATTTGGTTTAAAATCAAATCCATCTGAGAAACCTAGGTAGTATTTGCATTTGGAAGCCACCATCAAGGAGTTTGGTGTTAGTGAAAGAAAAGGGAAATGGCATGTGAGCTTTGGTCGGTGCCCAGTGATTCATTCCACAGCTGTTCTGAATATGAACTATATGACTTAGAGGCAAAAAGTGACCACCTAGAAGATGCTGTGGTATACATCGACTGTTGCTCCCAACCCAACTATTTCCATGATGGAGAGATTGGCTGAAACTTTCCTGCAACTCTAACTTTTCCATTAAGTCTTTTTTCAATGAAAGAGGGTTTTGAAGGAATCACAAAGGTCCATGGTGTATACAGATAACATCTGGATATTTTAGTGATGGTCAGAGTTTAACTGTAATAAAAAAAAAATCACAAATCTAACCAAACTAAAAAATGCAGCAAATGAAACCAACCAAGAAAACAAACAAACAAAATCTTCAGGGACTGAACTGGTTAATCAAGTCATTTCAATTACATTGTAAACATTTTTTGTGGGGTTTTCCTTTGTCTGCCCCGTTTCATTTTTTATATTGCTTCATTTACTTCTTTGCTTTTGGCTTGGTTATTAGAAAAATAATTATGGGTTCTGTTATGCATATTGCCTGTGATATTGTTATGGCATGCCATTAACTTTCCCAGACGATGCTCAATATCTTTGATTAGCTCGTGTCATCTGTAAATACAATTCTTTTTTGTAGAACTTTGGAATGGAGCCTTTTTCTGGTGTACTGTATGTCATTTAAATTTCACATACAAGCTGCTTTTTAGTAAAGATTTGAATATTTATAAATTTCAGATGGTTATCCTCACTTTCTAGAATACTTATGCGGCTACCATACATCCATCATAAGGCAATTGGCTGAATATCTGATGTGTATGGCACATTTACACAGATCCACACTTTGGAAGTATTTTATAGTTGTAAAGCATCAATCACATTAATTTCAAACACATTTCCTGATCTACTTACCAGCAGTCCTCAGAAGGAATGAAGGTGAGTTGTATCTGCTATGTCAATGAGTAATAACTTTAAAAATAGTAGAGATACTCTGTATAATGTAACAGCATTATATGTCACTTGGGATAGGATCTCTTTCCTTTTACGTCTCTATTCAGTAAATGCATTAATTTTCTGCAGTTTCCAAAATAAAAGTGTTAAAATAATTCTCAGTGTTGATTTTGAGTTATAAAGTTTCAGTTTGACATCTTTTAAATGGCATTTTAAAAGAGTAAATAAAGTGGGTAATGAGTTATGGCCTTGAACTTTAATGAAAGCAGTGATGTCTTCAGATTGTGTTTATCTTATTGGTTTAGTTCAGTTAGATAGCACACTTTACAATCATCACAAATTGACTGGAAAGAAATACAGAACAGTTTAATGACTGTTCAATTTGGACGTTAAGATCAGAATTTCTAAAAAAAAAAAATAACAGCATTGAAAACATGTGCTTTTACTTATCTTTTAAACATTAATTTATGAAATGTAAGTATTAAATTTGAGGAGAAAATCCATCTTTGAAAGTAAATAACAGAGGGCATTGATATTTGGTTCTATGTATCAATCTATCTGTGCATCAATCAAATCATAATGTCTGGATGTACATTTTATAAATTCTAATTTAGATTAAAACAGGTAAAATGATGAATTTTAGAAATAAATACATTTTTTGCTAAGCAAATTTTAAGAAATTATTTTTATCTTGAGGAAAGTAATACATCTATGTTTTCTTGGGTGTGACTGCAGCTGATTAACTCTGTTAAAACCTACTCACTCTGATAAGTAATTTGAATTATATTTTCATAAAGTGACCGAGTTGTCTATACCAGAAAACAAATGAGGAATATTAGAGAATATTAGTTAAAATTACTTAGACATAAGTCTGCAGATGGATCGAGTTGTGGTGAATGCTGAACAGCACTTGGGAAAAATATACACATAAGGAAAAGGATTTGTTTTGATTAGACTTTATTTCAGTGAGACTTCACCAGGAATAGAAAGCTCATTAAAGAAAGAGAGAGAGAAACACAGAAATAAACAGAGACAGAGAAATGAAATAAAAAATGAAGGGTTTTTTTTTTGTTGATTGCTTACAGGAGTTAAACAGAAACTAAGGAATACATTTCCTCAGTGGCAATCAAATATATGTGGAGAAATCCCCCCAAATTTAGGACAACAGTATCTTATGTATGTTAAATACTAATAATGAAAAACATTTAACAACTTGTAGAATATAGCAGAAAAATAACTTCAAAACTATTTAATCTGATTATCAGGAAAAGAGGTTAGAAAATAAAACATTTAGTTAGAGCTTAATGTTTCTGAATTAACTGACCAGAGCAAGTGCTAGGAAGTTTATCATCATGTACTGTTAAGACCAATCCTGGTTATACTGTGAAGATAGGAAGAATGAAAACAAATCTGAAAGGACAATGGAAATGGCTAAAGCGGCTCCCACTGGCTTTTGATGTGTTATTATCCCAGACTTGTATGAAGCCGCCACTGTGGACAGTCAAATGTCAGCAAGTGGGGTGATACTCTTTTAGGTATGAAGAGTAATATGATATTAAAGAATTTTATTCTGCATTTATTTACAAATATATGAAATTCCTAAGATATATCTATAAAGAAATATATTAGAATGATTTAAAATTCTTTGAGTAATGACAGTTTTTCTGGTTCACACAAATGGCAAATATAGCCTACATGGTTTTATTTCATAAGTACAGTTGGAGTAATTGGCATCCTACACTAATATTGAGATTTATGGAGATAAATTAAGAAGAACAGCTAACTGGGATAAAATAAGTGCACATGCAACAAAAATTTTAATTTCTCACTCTACTGAGAGTCTGGGAGTTATTGTGACATAATTCACTGAAAATGTTATACCATTCTCTCTTTATGTAGCAATACCTTTTTTGGTAGCATTTCTTTTTTCATTAATTCTAAAAACAGAATGCCACTGTTAAAAAAGAATCCACAAATGCTTGTAGAAAGTATTGATATTGATATTGAAAACTATCAAAACAAACAAGTATTAGTTAACATAGGCCAAAAAGGGTGGTGATATATAAAAATAACATTTATTGTCTCACTTTATATATATATATATATTCATACACACACACACACACACACAGAGGCAGGCCTTGTATTTAAAAGGTGATTGGGCTCTACTAAGTCTCCAGTTTGGAGGCTCATGTGTGAAGCAGTTGGACTCTGGAAGATGGTGAAGGTTGGGTGTAGACTGTTTGGTTGTATTTCTTCATTCACAGTCAGGTGTGAGCTGATTGGATTTGCCATATTTGGGCATCAATGAGCTGTTGGCTGAAAGCCTCTTGGTTTAGAGTCAACCTAGTGGGCAGGCTTTGGATTTAAAAATTGTTTGGGCCCTCAAACCTGTGGCCTTCAGACCTGGTGTTAATTGTGTTTGGGATGAACATTCTTCTAAGTGGCATAGCACTGGTCTGTCAATTTGCTGTAATGAAGTAACTTGGGGCTTCAGTGATGCTTAATGCTGTGCCACATATTTGTCAAATGCCATCATGGTTACCCATGGTGGATGGTGTTTGGTGGAGCTCCCAGATAGACTCAATTTTGGAAGCAGGAGTAACATCCACTTCCTAAACAACATGTCTCTGGAAATTCTATGAACATAGAGAAACAATAATAGTTAAAGAACAGGGTTCAGCTTTTTTGTTCATGGGGTCACTACAAGTCATGCTCGATAGCACTTAACAACAACATTCATATACATAGAGATTTCAAATAGGAAGATGGATTTTCCTCCAATTCTAGTACCACATTCTTCTTCATATAGTCAAGTTACTAGAA